AAACTACAAACCAACCTCAAGGAAAAAAACCCAAAGCACTCAAATTCATGGAGATGGAATAGCATGCTATTAAACAATGAATGAGTGAAGAATGAGATCAAGAAAGAAATCAAAAAGTTTCTGCAAACAAACAAAAATGAACTCACAACAACCCAAAACCTGTAGGACACAGAGAGGGCAGTCCCGAGAGGGAAGTTCACAGCAATACAGGCCTACCTTAAAAAGATAGAAAAATTTCAAATAATCAAACTAACCCTACAGCTCCAAAAACCAGAGGAACAACAACAAACAAATCCCAGAGGAAGTAGAAGGAAAGAAATAATCAAGATCAGAGGAAAATTAAATGACATAGAGACTAAAAGAACAACTCAAAGAATCAATAAATCCATGAGCTGGTTCTTTGAAAAGATAAACAAAATCAACAAGTCTTTAACCAGACTCATCAAGAAAAAAAGAGAGATGACTCAAATAAATAAAATCAGAAACAACAGAGAAGAAATTACAACTGATACCACAGAAATACAAAGGATCATGATAAATTACTATGAACAACAACAGTCAACAAATTTGAAAACCTGGGTGCAATGGACAAATTTCTAGAAACATATAATCCTCCATAACTGAGTCAAGAAGAAATACAAAGCCTGAATAGACCAATGTCAACTAGTGAAATCGAAGCAGAATCAACAAACTACTGGCACCAAAGCCCTGGGCGGTAAGTATTCATGGGAGAATTTTACCAAATATTTAGAGAAGAGCTAACCCCAATTCTTCTCAAACTACTCCAAAAAATCCAAGAAGAGAGAAGATTCCCAAACTCTTTTTATGAGGCCAATATTATCCTAATTCCAATGCCAGATAAAGACACAATAAAGAAAAGAAAACTATAGGCCAATATTGCTGATGAACATAGATGCTAAAATCCTCAACAAAATATTGGCAAACTGGATCCAGCAATATGTTAAAAAGATCATACACCATGACCAGGTGGGATTCATCCCAGGGATGCAAGATTGGTACAATATATGCAAATCAATAAATGTAATACATCATATAAAAAATATGAAAAACAATACTGACATGATCATATCAATAGATGCTGACAAAGCATTTGATAAAGAACAGCACCCATCTATGATAAAAACTCAGCAAAGTAGGAATATAGGGAGCATACCTCAACATAATAAAGGACAGATATGAGAAACACACAGCCAACATTATATTCAATGGGCAAAAATTAAAAGCTTTCCCTGTAAGACCAGGCACAAGACAAGGGTGTCCACTTTCACCACTTCTATTCAACAAAGTATTGGAAGTGCCAGCCACAGAGATCAGAGAAGAAAAGAAAATAAAAGGTATCCAAATTGGAAAGGAGAAGTAAAGCTGATGCTATTTGCAGATGGTATGATACTGTACACAGAAAACCCTACAGACTCAACAAAAAAACTATTCAACCTAATAAGTAAATTGGCAAAGTATTGGGATAATAGTCAACATTCAGAAATCAAAGGTATGTTTGTACATCAACAATGAAATGTCAGAAACAGCAATTAGGAGAAAAATTCCATTTACTAAGGTAACAAGAAAAATAATATTCTTAGGAATAAACTAAGGAGGTAAAAGACATGTACTCAATTAACTATACAACACTGAAGAAGGGAATTAAAGAAGACACAAATAAATGGAAGCACATACACTGTTCATGGATGGAAGAATTAACATCATTAAAATGTCCATATCACCCAAAGCAATTTATAGATTTAATGCAATCCCTGTCAAAATACCAATGATATATTTCACAGATGTAGAACAAATATTTCAAAAATTTATATGGAACCATAAATGACCCCAAATAGCCTCAGCAATTTTGAGAAAGAACAAAGTAGGAGGGATCAAATGATATCAAACTATATTACAAAGGAAATACAGTTTCCTTTCTAATACAAAGCCACCATAATCAAAAGTTTGGTACTGGCATAAGAACAGACATATAGATCAATGAAACAGAACAGAGAGCCCAGAAATAAACCCATGTCAATACAGTGAGTTAATATTTGACAAAGGGAGCAGGAACATAAAGTGGGGTAAATATAGCTTCTTCAATAAATGGTGTTGGGAGATCCGGGCAAATACATGCAAACAAAAAAGAAACTTGACCACCAACTTACACCACACCCCAAAATACACTCAAGATGGATAAAAGACTTAAATATAAATTGTGACACCAAAAGTGTACTGGAGGAAAACATAGGCAGGAAAATTTCTGATATCCCATGCAGCAATATTTTCACCAATACATCCCCCTTAGGGCAAAGGATATAAAGGGAAGAATAAACAAATGGAACTATATCAAAATAAAAAACTTCTGCACAGCTAAAGAAAACATCAACAAAATGGAAAGGGAACCAACCATATGGGAAAACATATTTGCCAATGATACCTCAGACAAAGGTTTGATCTCCAAAATATATAAAGAACTCATACAACTCCACACCAGGAAGACAAACAATCCAATTAAAAAATGGGCAAAGGACCTGAACAGATAATTCTCCAAGGAGGACACATAGGGGACCCACAGACACATGAAAAAGTGCTCAACATCACTAGCCACTGGAGAGATGCAAATTAAAACCACAATGAAATACCATTTCAAACTGGTCAGAATGGCCATCATTAATAAACCAACAAACAACAAGTACTGGCAAGGTTGTGGAGAAAAGAGAACCCTAGTGCACTGTTGGTGGGAATGCATATTGGTGCAGCCACTGTGGAAAACAGTATGGAATTTCCTGAAAAAACTGAAGATGGAACTGTCTTTTGATCCAGTGATCCTACTGCTGGGACTATACCCTAAGATACTGAAATACCCCCAGCTGGTGTGGCTCAGTGGTTGAGTGCCAGCCTGTGAAGCAAGGGGTCGGTGGTTCAATTCCCAGTCAGGGCACATGCCTGGGTTGTGGGTCAGGTCTCCAGCAGAAGGTGCATGAGAAACAACCACACATTAATATTTCTCTCCCTCTCTTCCTCTTTAAAAATAAATAAATAAAATCTTTAAAAAAAAAGAATCCTGAAATACCAATTCAAAAGAACTTATGCACTCCAAAGTTATTTATAATAACCAAGTGCTGGAAACAGACTAAGCTCCCATCAGTAAATGAGTGGATAAAAAAACTGGTACGTTTCCACACTATGCAGCAGAAAGAAAGAAGGAACTCCTACCCTTTGCGACAGCATGGATGGAACTGGAGAGCATTATGCTAAGTGAAATAAGCCAGGTGGTGAAAGACAAATACCACGTGATCTCACCTATAAGTGGAACCTAATCAACAAAACAAACAAATGAGCAGAATAGAACCAATGACATGGAAATAAAGAACAAACTGACAGTGACCAGAGGGGACCTAGGAGGTATTTAATGGGGAGAAAGAAAGGGAAAAGGCAAGCAAAGAAACATGAATAGAGGACTCAGGGACACGGACAATGGGGGGGATTGACTGTGGAAGCGGTTGATGGTGGGGTAGAGGTAAGCCATGGGGAAAAAGGTGGGACAACTAAACTGAACAACAATAGATTAAAAAAAAAAAGAAACTAGACCACCAATTTACACCAAGTACAAAAAGAAACTCAAAATGAATAAAAGACTTAATATAAGTCGCAAAATTATAAAAATTCTACAAGAAATCATAGGCAGTAAAATCTCAAACATTTCTTAGAGCAGTATTTTTGCTGATATACCTCCAAGGGGAAGGGAAATAAGGAAAATAAATAAATGGACTCCATCCAACTAAAAAGCTTTTGCACAACAAAAAACCATCAACAAAATGAAAAGAAACCCACTGAATGGAAGAACATATTTGCCAATGATACATCTGATAAGGGGTTAATTTCCAAAATATATAAAGAACGTATACAACTCAACACCAAGAAGACAAACAACCCAATTACAAATGGTCAAAGGTCCTGAATAGACATTTCTCTTAAGAGGACAAACAGATGGCCAATCTATATGACAAAATGCTCAACATCACTAATCATCAGAGAGATGCAAATTAAACCAAAATGAGATATCACTTCACTCCTGCCAGAATGGCTATCATAAAAAAAAACAACAACAAACAGGTGCTGGCAAGGATGTGGAAAAAAGGAAACTCTTTTGCACTGTGTTGATGGGAACACAGACTGGTGTAGCCACAAACAGTGCAGAGTTTCCTCAAAAATTTAAAAATGGAACTGCCTTTTCATCCAGCAATCCCACTTCTAGGAATATAGTTTAAGAATCCAGAAACACTAATTTAAAAAATATATTCACCTCTATGTTCATTGCAGCATTATTTACAATAGCCAAGATCTAGAAATAGCCCCAGTGCCCCAATAGCCCCAGATTGGATCAGTAGATGAGTGGATAAAAAGCTATGGTACACTTATACAATGGAAGGCTATGCAGCTGTAAAAAGGAAGGAAATCTTATTTGCAACAACCTGGAGGGACATGGAGATTATTATACTAAGTGAAATAAAACAGTCAGAGAAAGACAAATACCATATGATCTCACTTACATGTGACATCTAATAAATGTAATAAACTGGTGAACAAAATAGAAACAAAAGCATGGATACATGGAACAGACTGTCAGCTGTCAGAGGGGAGGGGTATTGGGGGACCTGATGAAAGGAGGTGATAGGATTAGCCACAAAACATTTATAACACACAGACACAGAGAGCAGTGTGGTGACAGAGGTTAAGGGGCTAGGCTGAGGTGGGAAAAGAGGAAGAAAATGGGGAAGAAAAGAGACTTTGCTTGGGGGAATGAACTCATGATGCAGTCTGCAGATGATGTTTTATTGAGTTGTACAATTGAAACCTGTATGGTTTTGTGAATCAGTCACCCCAATAAATCAATTCAAAATATAAAAACAAAGAATGAAGAATAATGTTTTGAAAAAAGTTTAAAAAACAAAAAAGTGAGGTAATAACTGTAGACCAAATATGAATTTACTTACTTAATGGAATATTGTCCGCACTTAGTCCACCAAACAGGAAAAGTTTATCATCAGCTATTGGTGTTAAAGTATGCCATGATCGATGTTTAGGGTTTTCTCCATTAATTGAAATCCTGTGGCAAAGGAAAAATATAAAAATCTAGGTCTTATGTTAGTTAAAATAAAAGGTTTTCAATCACTTCAGCTCTTAAAGGGAAAAATTGCTCTCACTAGTTTAAAATTTCATGTAGGTGGGATTTTAGTAATCCTGTCACCCTGACAGGATTTACTACATTCTGACAAGATTTATTTGATCAATTTAGTCACCCTGGCTGGTGTGGCTCAGTGGATTGAGCACTGGCCTGTAAACCAAGGGGTTACTGGTTCGATTCCCAGTCAAGGGCACATGCCTGGGTTGCAGGCCAGGTCCCCACTAGGGGGCATGCAAGAGACAACCACACACTGATGTCTCTCTCCCTCTTTCTTCCACCCTTCCCCTGCCTAAAAATAAATAAATAAAATATTGTAAAAAAATAATACATTCTAAAATTCTTAGTTGAGTTTATAAATCTTTCCACTTAGTGTCTATTCTATCTGGTCATAGAATGCAGATTAAAAATTAATTCCTAGTTAATTCACAATGCTGAGTATGCTCGGCATCATTCTTGTTGGTAATCAGTAAAACTTCAAGTTTTTCAACATAACTATTTTCATGTTTATAACTCTTAACTGTTGTTTCATGTTTAATTTTGTGTTTTCAGCAGATTTCCTCAATGAAATTATGGGATTTTGCTGTTGTTTCTACTTTGGTCAATTTATTGTAGAATTTCCCAAACCATTATCTTCATCTGAAAATTCTAACTACTTTAGCTTCAAAATAAAAGCATACAAGCCATTTCAGATCCAGGGAAAAAAATTCTAAAGATTTCAAACAAATGCTGTTTTTATTCCTTAAAAGACAGAAACACAAGTAAAAACATAGGCACAAACATGCTTTAACTAACTTAGAGGGTAAGAAGGCACCATTCCCCAGCATTCTGGAATGCTGCAGAATGACACAGGCCATTTGTAGAAAATATAATTTTTTTCCAAACTGGAAATATTTTTATTGACTATAAAAATATTTTGGTTAGAAAACATTCAACAGCCACAAAAATATTTTTTAATTTATTTATTTTTAGAGAGGGGAAGGGAGGGAGAAAGAAAGGGAAAGAAACATCACTGGGTGGTTGCCTCTTGCACATCTCACACTTGGGAACCCAGCCTGCAACCCAGGCAAGTACCCTGACTGGGAATCAAACCAGCGACCCTTTGGTTCACAGGAAGGTGCTCAATCCACTGAGCCACACCAGCCAGGGCCACAAAAATATTTTAATGAGAGTTATATAATCCTGTCCTCAAGCAATAAGAAATAATAACTTGGTATATATCTTTCCAGACTTGAATATACAAAGAAATATTAAAATATATCAATGGGATCATATAGTCCATTCTGTAATTTTTTTTCTTTCAACTAGTCTGTTGTAGAATATTTCCATGAAGCAGTTTCCTTTGGTAATGGAAACATCTCAGCCTTTTGGGAAAATGTACTGTGATTTAAGCAACCCCTACTTGTGGCCATGAAGGCTGACCTCAAGTTTTTATAAATAATGTTGCAACAAACATCTTTGTGTATACACACACAGAGATATACCTGTCCAATTCTTGTCTTCAGAGAAATTCTGGATCAGTGTAGAAATTCCATTTTATATTTTAAACATATTACTAGAATGCCTTTCATAAAATCTGTACTAATTTTCCACTAATTATGGAAAATTTGTACCAATACTTCCACTAATTATATTGCTGCAACCTAGCAAGCACTGATCATTTGTAATTGCTTTTATCTGATAAGTGAAAACTAGTTTTTTTTCTATTTCTTTCATAATCTATGAAATTAACATTTAAAAAATAATTTTGTCATTTGTATTTCTTCTATAAGTTGCTCATGCATGTTCTTTGTCCACTTTCCTATTGGATTATTTCTTTTTCTTACTGACTTACTTCTTGTGGCTCTTAGCCCTTTTTGTTAGACATACTATAAATATTGTGTAAAGTATATGATTGTCCAACCACTCTGTGAAACACCTGAAACTAATACAAAATAATATTAAATGTAAACTGTAACTAAAAAATAAAAATAATTAAGAAAAATTCAAAATAAAATTTAAAAATACTGTGTAGGTCAAACAAACATAAAAAAAGAAATACCATAAATACTACTTCTAGTTTATATTTTTTGTTTACATTTTCCAATTTGCCTTTTAATTTTTTGTGGTATATTTTTCTACATAGAAATAATTAATGCTTAAGTAGTTTTATCAACCCATCTTTTAATTTACGAATTTTGGGTTTAAACCATTTTTAGAAAAGCCTTTTCCATACTGAGATTTTAAAGATAATCTGTGAGATTTTAAAGATAGGCTAGCATGGCTCAGTGGATTGAGCACCTGCCTGTGAACCAAAGGGTTGTTGGTTTGATTCCCAGTCAGGGCACTTGCCTGGGTTGCAGGCCGGATTCCCAGGTGCATGGGGTGCAAGAGGTGACCACACAGTGATGTTTCTTTCCCTCTCTTTCTTCCTCCCTTCCCCTCTCTCTAAAAATAAATAAATAAATAGAATCTTTTTAAAAGATAAAGAGAAGAAATTCTTAGCTTTGAAAAAAAGATAATCTGCTATATTTTCTTCTCACACTTTTGTGCTTTTATTTTTAATGGCATTTATACTTTGGAATCATATATAGTTCTGAGTTGATCTTATTACATGAACAGCTAAATTGATAGCTAAATATATGTATTCTACTGCTAAATATACTCATAAATTATGAGCCATAAATAAAATCTGACTTTTATCCACTCCATATCTGCTCACCTGTGATGACCACATTAAATAGTTACTTCACTTCTACTGACCAGTATACATAGTACAAAACCAGTACTTTTACATAATCAATTTTCAACAGCTAGTATTCTCATGTTTTATATAGTTTTGTTAAAGAGCAAACTCTATTTAAATCTATATATTCCTGCTTAGACATATAATCTGAAGGGAAAAAAATAATAGTTCAGTTTTAGAAACCAAAATTTGGATTATGGTGCACCCATATACACATAGAGAAATGCCTATAGGTAAAAACAAACAAATTACATACTTACCTTCCAGACCAAGTCCAGGTATCTAAGTTCAGGTAATGCAAATCATTCATCCTAGTTTGCTAAAATAAAATAAAAGTGTATTAAATTGGTCAGTGTTTTACAACTTTCAAAAGGTAAAATTTTGTTTAATAAGTTTATATTATAAATAGATTATCTCCATTTTACTTAACATCATAAGTTTATATATTGAGGAACAATACTAAGCATTAATAAAATTAACATAGAGCTACCAAATTAATGTGTCAAGGGGGAAACATGTAAATGAGTTTAAACCACCAGGATTTAGATGATAACAAATTAAACTTTTCTAATAATACACTAAAGTAAAGGATTCTCATTAAAATATCATTTATAATCATCTGTGACTATTCATGTGTGGTCTGTTTGAGAAGATAAAAGTTATTGAATAGCACCATAATCTCTAGATTATTTGAATGTTCAGTTGTTCTATAAATTCAGAGAATAAGCTTTAGAAGAAGCATCACACATAAAAGGTTATTTCCATTGAAAATACTAACCAAAACACGTCCACCAAAGATATAGCCCTTATTTCCAAGAACTGCACAGGTATGCGCGGCCCGTGGCTGTGGGGGAACTCCACCCTAGAAGCAGAGATGAGAAAACGGAGCACAAAGATTTGGAACATGTGAAATGATGTCGCATGCTCATGCTCAGTATGAGAAATACATGACTGCTAAATCACTACTATCTATGGAACTCCATTAGAAAGCCTAATGTAAAAATTCACTTTAAATAAGCAATTTTCAACCTGTGTGCTACAAGAATTTTAAAACATGCAATACCTGACTATTTAGTCAGGGTCACTGACTTCTTTTCCCTTATCTTGTGAAATAAACTGACAACAGCCAATACAACAATAGCCATCCAATGTGAATGAATCAAAACTATACCTATTTTTTGTCTGATAGGCAAAAAATATAACACTTTTTGGTGTGCTGCAAAATTTTAGTAATTAGTTTGTGTGTCATGAGATGAAAAAGGTCGACTATTGCTGTTCTAAATAGTAATAATTATAGACAAATACCACAGGCATACCTCGTTTTATCAAGTTTCACTTTATTGCGCTTTGCAGATATTGCATTTTTTTACACATTGAAGGTCTGTAGCAACCTTGCACCAAGGAAGTCTATCAGTGCCATTTTTCTAACAGCATTTGCTCACTGTGTCATGTTTTGGTAAGTCTCACAGTATTTCCAACCCTTTCATTATTATTGCATTTGGTATGGTGATCTGTGATCAGTGATCTTTGATGTTACTATTGTAATTGTTTGGGGGTGCCATGAAATGCTCCCATATAACATAGTAAATTTAACAGTTGTGTGTGTTCTGACTGCTCCACCAATCAGCCATTCCCGCATTTTGTCCCTCTCCTGAGGCCTCCCTATTCTCTAAGGCAAACAATACTGAAATTAGGCCAATTAATAACTACACAATGGCCTCAAAATGTTCAAGTGAAAGGAAGAGTTGCACTCTCTCACTTTAAATCAAAAGCTAGAAACGATTCAGCTTAGTGAGGAAAGCATGTCAAAAGCTGAGACAGATCAAAAGCAGAGGGAAGGTAAAAGCTAGCCTTCTTGCACCAAACAATTAACCAAAATATGAATGAAAGGAAAAGTTCTTGAAGGAAATTAAAAGAGCTACTCCAGTAAACACATCAATGATGAGAAAGTGAAACATCCTTATTGCTAATAGTGGTCTGGATAAAGGATCAAGCCAGACCAAACATTCCTTAAGCCAAAGCTTACTCCAGAGCAAGGCCCCAGCTCTCTTCAAGTCTATAAAGGCTGAGCAAAGTGAGGAAGCTACAGAGGAAAAGTTTAAAGCTGGCAGTGGTTGGTTCATGACCTTTAAGGAAAGAATCCATCTCCAAGACATGAAAGTACAAGATGTAGCAATACGTGCTGATGTAGAAGTTGCAAGTTATCCAGAATAGCTAGATAACATAATTAATGAAGGTGGCTGCACAAACATAGATTTTCAATGTAGACAACACAGCCTTAGACTGGAAGGAGATGCAATCTAGGACTTTCCTAGCTAGAAAGAAGTCAATGCCTGGTGTCAAAGCTTCAAAGGAGAGGCTGATTCTCGTGTTAGTGGCTAATGAAGCTGGTGACGATGCTCATCACGTGATGCTCATGCTCATGATGATTTACTACCTGAAAACCTTAGACCCCTAAGAATTATGCTAAATCTACTCTATCTGTGCCCCATAAAGGGAACAACAAAGCCTGGATAACAATACATATGATTACAACATTGTTTACTGAATATTTTAAGCCCAATTTTACTGTTGAAACCTACTGCTCAGAAAAAAAATTTCAAAATATTTCTGCTCATTGACAGTACACCTGGCCACCCAAAAGCTCTGATGGAGATACGCAGTGAGATCAATGTTATTGTTTTCATGCTTCCTAACACAGCATCCACTCTGCATCCCAGGAATCAAGGAATTATTTAAGAAGTACATTCTATAAGGCTATAGTTGCCATAGATTGTGATTCCTTTGGTGGATCTGGGCAAAGTTAACTGAAAACTTTCTGGAAAGAATTCACCATTTTAGATACTGTTAAGAACCTTCATACATTATGAGAAAAGGTAAAAAAAATCAACATTAACAAGAGTTTGGAGGAACTTGACAATTCCACACTCATGAATGACTTTGAGGGGTTCAAGATTTCAGTGGAGGAAGTAAGTGCAGCTGTGGTAGAAACAGCAAGAGAATGAGAATTACAAGTGAAGCCTGAAGATGTGACTGAATTGCTGCAATCTCATGATAAAACTTGAACAGATGAGAAGTTACTTCTTGTAAAATAAATACATGAATGAAAATTTTTTAAAAAGTTACTTTTTTAAAATATATTTTGAGTATGCTATTACAGTTGTCCCATTTTCTCCCCTTCATGCCCCTCCACGCTGCACACCCTCTCCCAACCACTTTAGTTCATGTCCATGTGTCATAAGTTCTTTAGCTTCTACATTTCCCATACTATTCTTACCTTCCCCCTGTCTATTTTCTACCTACCATCTATTCTCTGTATCTTTTCCCCCTCTCTCCTCCTCCCACTCCCGTTGATAACTCTCCATGTGATCTCCATTTCTGTGGTTCTGTTCCTGTTCCAGTTGTTTGCTTAGTTTGCTTTTGTTTTTGTTTTAGGTGTGGTTGTTAATAACTGTGAGTTTGCTGTCATTTTACTGTACATGTTTTTTATCTTCTTTTTCTTAAATAAGTCCCTTCAACATTTCATATAATAAGGGCTTGGTGATGATGAACTCCTTTAACTTGACCTTATCTGAGAAGTACTTTGAACTCCTTTAACTTGACCTTATCTGAGAAGCACTTTATCTGCCCTGCCATTCTAAATGAAAGCTTTGCTGGATAGAACAATCTTGGATGTAGGCCCTTGCCTTTCATGCCTTGGAATACTTCTTCCCAGCCCCTTCTTGCCTGCAAGGTCTCTTTTGAGAAATCAGCTGACAGTCTGATGGGAACTCCTTTGTAGGTAACTATCTCCTTATCTCTTGCTGCTTTTAGGATTCTCTCCTTCATTTTTATCTTGGCTAATGTAATTATAATGTGCCTTGGTCTGTTCCTCCTTGGGTCCAACTTCTTTGGGACTCTCTGAGCTTCCTGGACTTCCTGGAAGTCTATTTTGCCAGATTGGGGAAGTTCTCCTTTATTATTTGCTCAAATAACTTTTCCATTTGTTGCTCTTCCTCTTCCCCTTCTGGTACTGTGGCAGGAAACGAAACTGCTCTCTGTAACACTTGCAAGTTTTGTCGGGACAAAAGCTGAGTAAAAGTTATTTTTAGGTAAGGAGCTGGCTAGCAGAAGTTGCTAAGTAACCATATCTCAAGGTCACTATGCCCCTGCTTCTGAATGCTTGCTTTCTGCAGCTGGTCCCCCTCCCTTTCTGCCTGTGTAACTGGAATATAAAAAGGACCCCTAACCCAGCCTTTTTGGGCTCAGAATTTGGGATTCTCCTCTGAGTCCCACTGGGTAATAAAGTTTGTGCTTTGTTATCTCCCCGTGTGTGGGTGGATTTTCCACAACAGTACCCCTATAATTCAGATGTTGGAACATTTAAAGATGTCCTGGAAGTTCCTAAGTCTCTCCTCATTTTTTTGAATTCTTGTTTCTTCATTCTTTTCTGGCTGGATGTTTCTTTCTTCCTTCTGGTCCACTCCATTGATTAGAGTCCCAGTTTCCTTCCCATCACTATTGGCTTCCTGTACATTTCCCTTCATTTCACTTAGTGTAGCCTTCATATTTTCTTCTAATTTGTGACCAAATTCAACCAATATTGTGAGCGTCCTGATCACCAGTGTTTTGAACTGTGCATCTGGTAGGTTGGCTATCTCTTCATCACTTAGTTGTATTTTTTCTGGACCTTTGATCTGTTCTTTCATTGGGGCCATTCTTTTTTTGTCTTTATGCACATGTTACATAGTGAGGGGCAGAGCCCTAGGTGTTCACCAGGACAGGGCAACCCAGTTACGATGTTGTGACGCTATTGTAGGGGAGGGGTCTGAGAGGGAACAATGGCACTTGCTCCGTTCTCTGCCGGATTTCAGTCACTTCCGCTGCTTCCCCCAAGCAAATTGGGCTCTTCTGGTGCTGATTCCCAGGTGGGTGGGCTTGTGTACATTCTGGGACCCTGTGGGTCTCTCCAATGAACTCTCTTGTGAGGCTGGGAATTTCTCCCAGCACCTCAGCCCCCATAGGTGTTTTCAATCGGTGTTTTGAGGCTTTATTTCCCTGCGCTGGGGCCCTGGGTTGTCTGTCTTGCCCCCCAGTTTCGCCTGGTTTATCTGCACACAAGTATGGGAACACCAGGTCCGCCACCTGCCTTGCACACTGCGCCCCTCCACAATCCGCTGCCTTGCTGGGTCCACCTGCTGCCCAGGGTCCGCCAGCCACTGCTTTTTTTGCCCTGACCCCTCACCGCCCAGCCGCCCGACTCTGCCCCTCCTGTCGGTCTGGATGAATGTGTCTACTTTAACTCCTTGTCAGACTCCATACAGTTCTATTTCCTGTCAGTACTGGTTGCTTTTTTGTTTCTAAATTTTTGTTGTCCTTATTGTGCGAGGAGGCACAGTGTGACTACCTACGCCTCCATCTTGGCCAGAAGTAAAAAAAAAAAAAAAAGAAGTTATTTCTTATGGACGAACAAACAAAGTGGTTTCTAAAGATGAAATCTCCTGGTAAAGATGCTGTGAAGATCATTGAAATGACAACAAAGGATTTAGGATATTACATAAACTTAGTTGATAAAGGAGTGAAAAGGTTTGAGAGGACTGACTGCAATTTTGAAAGAATTTCTATTCCGGGTAAAATGAAATCAAACAGCATTCTATGCTACAGAGAAAGTGTTCACAAAAGTAAGAGTCAACTGATGTGACAAACTTCACTGTTGCCTTATTTTAACAAACTACCACAGCCACCCAACCTACAGCAACCACTACCCTGATCAGTCAGTAGTCACCAATATTCAGGCAAGACCTTCTACCAGCAAAAGATTATGACTTCTGGAAGGATCACATGAAGTTAGCTTTTTTGGCAGTAAAGTAGTTTTTAATCAAG